GGAAGGAGGAAACCCCAGCCGGCAGAAAACGCCGCCCACCCCTGCTTCTGCAGGGGGTGGTCGGGGTTCCTATCTCTGCTCCTTAAAACCCACATGTCGCCCACAACTAAAAGCCCTGTGCAGGCAGCCTCTTCCACTGTGCCCCTGCGTGCGGCACGCTACGGAATAAAAACTCCCTGATAGCGTATTAATATTTTGCTTTTTTTATCCTCGGTTCCTATCTCTGCTCCTTAAAACCCACATGTCGCCCACAACTAAAAGCCCTGTGCAGGCAGCCTCTTCCACTGTGCCCCTGCGTGCGGCACGCTACGGAATAAAAACTCCCTGATAGCGTATTAATATTTTGCTTTTTTTATCCTCCCGCCTGTGACCCCGGTTTAAGGCGCTCGGCTCAACCTGTTCCGAGCATTTTTCCTTAAAAAAAGGAATAATTTGCAGATAATAATTTAAGTTGCAGGGTTGCTTGCGTGATGAAATGCCCAGGCAGGCTGGCAGTTGCTACCACTTTTCTGTATGTCGCGTAGCGCCTTTGGCATGCTTTTTCTTAATCGTGATGGGTTTGTAGGTAATAAAACACATCAAAATTTCTCATTTCCAGCAAGCGCGTGCCTGTTGTAAATACGCACGTGTGTGCATAAGAGCATGTGTGCGCGTAAGGATGTCTTTCAATGTTCCAACTGTTTTAATCAGTGAAACAGTGGTTTTATAGGGACAAGAAGCGTGTTGGACTTGCATTTGTGTTTTCAGAGATTAATGAATCTTGTTGAAGGGACAGCGATAAGTTAATCTTGCTATGCCTGCTGTGTTTTTATAGACTGAAAAAATTATTATTATAATTGAGCTGATAAATTCTGTGGGTTTTTTCAGTTTGCTTAATCTGCATTTGGCAATAGCTTATAGATACTTCAGTCCTTTTGGTTGGGTTTTTTTTATGGCATCTTTTTCTTCTCAGCCTCCAAATAAATGAAACGTGCCAAAAAGAAACCGTATTGAGGGTAAGAATTGGCAGAGAATATCTAGGTGAGGTCTTGTGATTGAACTACGTTAATCCCTTTCGTGGAAGCGACGGAATATCATATGGAAGGCTGATATGCAAGTTGCTACAAAATGCACCACAGTAACTCAGGGAAAGCACAATTTCTCTTTAATTCTTCAGCTAGATATTTTAGACTCTGCTGGTAGCCAGTGAAAGATGTTTGAAGCGGTGTCTTTTTTTTTTTTTCTTTTTTCTTTTTTGAAGTTCACTTGGTCTGTTCTGGAATGCTTCAGTCATAATTACGTCCTGTTCGGCAAGTTCTAATGCGTCTCGGTGAGCTCTGTGCAGTGCTAGATACGTGAACTCCAGCATCTGCATAAAGTTCTGCACGGCTGAGGGGGCCTTTGGTCACCGGGGACGGTAAACCCCAGGTTGTATTTTGAACAAGTAGGAGTGTGTCCGTAGCGTTCTGTCATCATCCCGGTGTTCTTCAGGCAAAAATACCTCTCTGCTTGAGAGTGCAGGTGATGGTTGTGCACTTTTCAAAAAAAATCACTTTAGGTTTGTTGCCAGCAGCTAATGCTGCTCGTTGAAAGATTGCTGAACGTTTCTATGCATTGTAGCAGGCAATATAAATAGTTTGAGCAGTGATTGCTATCAAATACCTGCTCCTGAACCTAAAACAGGCCGCTTTCTTGCACTGAGGCTTAAATGAAAAAGTTATGTTGCGACCTGGAAAGTCGCCTTTGTGACCAGAGGTGCTTGGGTAGGTGGGTTTGAGGCTGGCGCCCTGAACGAGCAGTAAGTTGTGTATTGGATAACTGAATTGTAATTGCAGTCTTAAACCCGCGCTGTTTGGTGCTGC